TATGTGGGTGCTGGCGTGTGTGTGTGTGTGTGTGTGTGTGTGTGTGTGTGTGTGTGTGTGTGTGTGTGTTTCTCCACTGTTTTCACTTCTGCAAGATGCTATAACTTTGTATTTAGAGAAGGAATTGTCACATCAGGCTTGATATTTAGTAACTATAAAATAATAAAAAGAGGCCACCCCAGGTAGAGTTTGCTTAGAAACAAAAAGGTCCTATTTTATCTGGTCTTTGTGGCTTCAGTCATATGCCAAACATTTGGAAAGCACAGTGGTTTCTGTTATCCTAAAACACACCGGAGCAGAAGGTTTGGGTGTCTAGATCTAAAGGGAAGTGTGTGATAATGCATTTTGTCTATATCCTCAGATTGTCTGCAAATTCATCCCTAATGAAGAAATTCAGGCGTTCTTGGAGGAAACACTGGATGGCCTGGAAACTCTCAACCCCATGTGCACAAAGGCCTGTGGTATATGGATGATCGCTGCTCTAAAGGAGCATGGGGCTGTGCTGGAAGATCAGGTAAACTGACACCCAGTAGTCAAACAGTAGGATTCTAGCGCCTCCAAGGTGCCATGTCAAATTCCCATTCAGTTTTCCCTCTCATCATTAGAGTCTAATGGGAAGCAGGCAAGAGCTTCAGGGATCTCAGCAGAGTCCCAACCTACACGTTAACAAGGCTGGATGGCCCAACTAAATCTTTAATTATAACAACTTTCAAAACACAGTAGAGCACCTGCCTAGCATGACCAAAATGCTGTGTTGAATCCCCAGCATGGTATAAACAGGACAGAGTGGCACGTGTCTGTCATCCTAGCTCTTGGAGGATGGAGAAAGGAGATTCAAGAGTTGAAGGCCATTATTAGCTACATAGGAACTTCAAGACAAGCCTGAGAGACATGAGACTCTCTCTCTCTCTCTCTCTCTCTCTCTCTCTCTCTCTCTCACACACACACACACACACACACACACACACACACACACCTCAAAATGGTTCCCACTCTGCCATCTGGTCAAGGGAAACAGCTCTGGCCTCTAGAAATTGGGTTAATAGATTTAGAAGGCAGGAAAAACAAGTAGATGGGTGCCTCTGAGAAGGCCACTAAGCCCTGGGAGGGTTTCCAGTTCACTGCTGCTCTTCACTTTGCTCTTTCACACCCCATTAGAGTGTGTTATCTGGAAAGCAAGGTTGACAGTGGGTTGAAGAAAGTGCTCAGTCATTTGTCACAGCTGGGGATGTAAGCAGAAGGAACAGAATTCAGATTGAGTCTCTATTAAGAGCTCCAAATAGAGACAGTCTATGCTGACTCCTCAAGTCAAAAGCAGAACACACACCACTACTCCAAGCAAGAAAATTAGACTGAATGAGGCCATCTCTGAAGAGGTTCTTACCCTATATCGCATTGTCAACAATCCTCAATTACACAGCTTTGGGTAACATCATTAGAAATTATTCCTGTACTAATTACTTACCAATAAATTGTTTTAAAAAAGAATGGCAAACCATGTGTTAGGCATGAGGCTAAATGTAGGAAAATTATAGTTGATAAGTATGGAATACCTGTGTGTTTATGTGATTGGCATAAAGAGAGAAATAGTAACAATACAGGAAAAAATTTTGAAACGGAAATTAAACCCTCCCCAGTTATCATTCAACTGGACCTTTGGGATAATCATCTTAAGGGTTACTTGCAATGTTTTTGAGTGATTTAGAAAATATTATGCCTGTGATAAAAATGTTATGCTTATAATAAACATCTAATTTAAATATCCATACAACATAATAAAAAGAAAGTTCTAGTAGAAGCAAAGTATCTTTCGTTGCATAGATCCATGTACTTATTCATACCAAAAATCTGAACATATATATAAAAGTATTCCCCACTGTCATTGGCTAACATCCAAATTCAGAAAAGTGACTGACATCTGTGGTCCTCTGGGGGATGTCTTCATCTTGTCTATGAAGTTATCCTCCTTTCATCACCCTCAGCCCCATATTTTCCACCTTTACATTTGTAGTGTCCTTACCACAGGATGCCCTCCTCTCCCATCTCTGCTTTGCACCGTGCAATTGCGGAATTAAGACCCAGACCACTGGCTCCTCTAAAATGTCCGGGTTGCTTCTGGACCACCATTTGCCTCATACTACCTGGAACCCAATCCTTTGGGTAGATGACTGAAATACTCTATTGGAATCCCCACCTCCCAGCTGTCACAAAAGGCTGCATCTTTCTCCTTTTCAGTGTATTTCCCAAGAGTACTGATTATAATACCCAGCACAGTATACCCTTTTTCTAGTGCTCACTAAGCTGGGCTAAAAAGATCCCTGGGTCACCAGTAATGTTGCGTGAGAAATGAGTCTTGTGTAGAAACAAGTACGGTCTTTAACATTGTTGGCAATTCATCAACCACCCACCACAGGTCCAATGCTACCTCCCTTGTACCATTTACGTAGAGAAAAGAAGTGACAGCCTCATGTTTTCTTCTTAGCTGCTGGAGATCCTGAACACAACTTACCATCACATGCCAGTCCTCAGACAAAAGGAGGAAAGCTTTCAGTTCATACTAGAAGCTATCTCCCAGATCGCCAGTTTTCACATGGACTCAGTTGTTGTCAACCTGCTACAGAAGCCTCTGCCCTTTGACAGGTAGAATCTAATGCATCTGGCCCCTCCTCCCAGAAAAGACCGCCTTACAAGGCATCGGGAAGGATGTATTGTTTGAGAGGAAGATTGCAAAGGTTGAAAACATCTCACCTGAACATCAGTTTTAAAATGTATATTTGAACCACAAGTAATATTTTCCAAGCATTTTATTGAATGCAAAAGAGCTCCTCTTAAAATAGAAAAGCACTGCATTTATAATAAGTACATCCTGAAAGTCAATAATCTTCCTCTTTCCAGTTTCCATCTGTTTGGACATTCACATGCCTCAGAAACCCAAGGCCAAATGCTGGGTTGTTAAACAAACCACCATTATTGCCTCTTGACACTGTAACATAGCTATCTGCCTTTGCAAGCATGATTCATCGTAATGCAATTTTAAAGTAAGCCAGATGGAAAAGCTCACAGTCCAGAGAGTTGTGCCTTATCTGTCTGTCAACTTCCTGACTTGTCATCCTAGGGACACGAAGACACTGTGGAAGTCACTGGCGGAAAACCCAGCCTCTCGTGGCAAACTCATGAGAGCCCTGATAAAAAAACTGGATGCCAGGTTAGAGGACGACATAGCCGGGATAGATGCAATTTCAGTAAGTTGGACATTTGACCACTCGCCTCTGTCTGTCTTCTACTCTGTGACCTGTTCCCACCTGGTCCCAGGTGCTGGAGTGGTAATCATACTTCAGCAGTGCCCTGAATTTAACTATAGCCTAGTTCATATTAGACAATTGTGGCAGCAGGATCGTCTTCGGTCATCATTTTCAGAAGCAAATTTGTCATCAGCACCCAAAAAAAATCAATTTCCAAATTAGTCTTCAATATATCCAGATCCAGATGACTGTTGTTTTGTTTGTTGGTTGGTTAGCATCATTGAAAATCCCCCCATATTGGAAAACATGTCATTTTCCTAAATGTGTCTACCCAAAGTCATGAGGCCAGCATGGCAGTCCTAAGAAATCCAGTCTGATGAGTGGTTTAGAGGCCGGTTTATGTTCCTTTTCTGTGTGTTTTAATCTTGGGCATGCTTAAATTAGAAAACAATCCCTGAGATAAAGAATGCGCTTCTGTAGCAGCCTTGGAGGAACGGAAATCTGCTTGACTGGGAGGTCCTTTGTTCCCTCAGGTGGCCTGTGCTATGTATGAAGTGATCTTAACAGGGACTCATGTCACTCACTTGTATCCAGAGCTGTTCACCCTCCTCCTGAAGCTGGTCAGCTGCTCACTGGGCCAGAAAATGCCAACTTCTACCTTGAGTCAAAGGCGCCGTGTGATGCAGCTTGGGGAACGACAGCAGACTCCAGACCCCTGCAGGTAAATGGCCCGTCAGGAAATATCTTCCTTGATGGTACTGACTCCACACTCGTAAAAAGGGGCTGTGGAAGTCAGCCTCTGCCTCCTGCCCTAGTATCAAACCCTCTGGAATGCACAAGGCTTTAGTGTCCTTTCACTGTGAATCCAAACCTGGCAGATCCTTTTCCCTGAGGCAATATCCAAGATATCTGCCTAGAACGGTCATGTGAGAAGGAAGGGTGTGCTTTCTTCCCTAGAGGGCCCACACTGTTTCTTCCTGGGAAAGTTGGAATTCTGTGATAATGAAGGTCACACAGAAAGCGAACAAATGGAATATTCCATTCAATCTAAGACTTTGCCATTGACAAAAGCAATCTCAGTCCATTTAACACTAAGAAAAAGGAGACACTCTATTAGGACATGAGTCAGTGCTTTCTTTTCTTTTATTTAAACAGATAATTGTTTAAAATTTTTTAATACATTTTTATCATTTTTCATCTCTTCCAACTCCTTCCAGATCCTCCTAACTCCCATATCCACCCACTTTATGTTCTGTCTCTCTCTCAAAAACACACAAAAAACTGAAAATCAAAACAAGCATAAGACCAATAAGACAAAAAAAAAATGCCAAAATAAAACCAAAAAAAAAACCATGGAGCTTATTATAATTCTTATATTTTTAAATGCTTGTTTTATATTCATCAAGAAGCCTGTTGAGAATTGGAAGTATAGACTCTCATTTTATATCATGTCACTCTGCTTCCCTGACCTTTTGCATAGCTTTTCATTCCAATGTCAGATCACAATGCAACCTTTGGCAAGACATTTTAAACAGCATTTAGACTCATCACATGCTGCCCTGATAATACATGTAACTTCACCAAAAGGACAGGAGTTTAAAGGGCCATATCTGAATCCAAACATGCATAGTGGATGTAGAGACAACAGCAGCTACATCACCGCAACAGACAGTAAGTTCACAGTAAGATGCAATCTTATCTTAAAGGTCCAGCAAAATATGCTATTTTCCACTTTCCATTTGTAGGGTTTGGCTTGGTTTATTTTTGATTGTTTTTCCCCTATGGGTAGTTGGGAAGATTTAGTGTCATCACCTGCTGTCCCCTTTGGCCAAAACGAAAGTGTGAGAGTAAGGCTGCCTTCTTTTTGTCTTGAACAACATCCACTAATCTAAGGTTGGGAGAGAATTACAAGAAGTAGGAAAAATAAACTAGGGAATTCACAACTTCCTCTGTAGGGTTCATTTACACCTGCGGCATCTGCTGTCTCCTCTAGACTCTCAACTGCAGCTCTGAAATGCTTGCAAGCCCAAGCCATGAAAGAAGGCCTTGCCAAAGAATCTGATGAAGGTGACAATTTATGGAACCTACTTAGCAATCCTGATACCCATCACATAGGCGTGTGTGCACTGGCCAGGTAATATGCCATGATCTGAAAGTGGATACAAAAGAGAAAAACAAAAGCCAAGAATGAAGATGCAACCTCACTGATAGCAAACAACTCCAGAAAGGGGAAGGTGGGGGGGGGGAGATGTGGGTGTTTCAGCCCGAAACTACCACTTCCCTCAAAAACAAAAATGATTCAAATGAACTACTTTAGATAAATGATATAAATTGACTACTTGGATGGATCATTTTAAAATGTAAGGCTTGGCAGTTTTTCCTCTAGTATTTCTCTTGAGATACAAACATTGGCTTAAAGGACCTGTAAATACACCACAGCTTTTTCCATTAGAAGGGACTTAAGTCCCTTTTAAAATTTGTATTTTCCAGGAGCATGGCTGTGTGGCAACATGGCGTCATATTGGATATCATGCAACACCTATTTTCATCTCTTACCTCCTCCTCTGAGAACTACCGGATAACTGGCACTGCCTTCTTCTCTGAGGCAAGGAAGAATAGTCATCTGGGCACGTTCATTGGTCCCTTGCTGTATTTCTCGTGTAGGATATGGGGCTCAAGGGGTCGTCCAAGGGGAGATTTAGTAGTGGAGGAACCCATTCCTGTCAAAGATGCACAATCAAGGAATGGAAGGGAAAGGAAATCTCTCTTTCAACCATCTCCTCCTGACTTGTGGAAACCAAACTCCAGGTCAGGGAAGGGAGAATTGTAAAGGTGAGGGGGACAAAAACACAAAGTCAGCATGGGACACAAAGACTAGCCAATCCAGAGAAGAAGGAATGATGATCAGAAACTTCTGTCTCTGATGCCCCAGTTTCCTTTGAGAAAATCCTCCCGTCTAGATAGTCTGGTCCTCATTACTTGACCTCTGGGTGGCTCACATCTGGAGCTCAGCCGCTACAAGAGTTGCTGGTTCACTGGGGCTTCCGCCCTCTGCTCCACAGCAGTTAGGACCCATCTTTAACTGTAGGTAAGGTGCCTTGAGCTGTCCCCTCGAGGGAGGGGCTCTAAAGAGGAGGAGTTTGTTGATTTCAGCTCATGAAGGAGCCAATCCTCTGGAAGCATGGAAATCTTCGTGATGTGCTGGTTTTCATGGATCAGAGTGCCTGGGATTCCAATGCTGTTCTGAGGCAAATGGCCATCCGAGGACTGGGCAACACAGCACATGGGGCTCCTCACAAGGTAAGAGGCATTCTTAGGGAGAAGGACTTGGTTTGTTTGTTTGTTTGTTTGTTTGTTTTTTCTACAGATCTTTTTGTTTGAATTAGAAACAAGATTGTTTTACATGACAATTCCAGTTACCTCTCCCTCCCTCCTCCCCTACCACCCCACCAATTAAAACCCTACCTATCACATATCCTTTCTGCTCCCCCTGGATGGTGAGGCCTTCCATAGGGTGTCATCAGAGTCTATCTTATCCTTTGGGATAGGGCCTAGGCCCACCCCCGTGTGTCTTGGCTCAGGGAGTATTCCTCTATGTGGAATGGGCTCCCAAAGTCCACACCTATGTTAGGGATAAATACTTAACTACTACAGGAGGTCCTGTAGATTTCAGGGGTTTCCTCACTGAAACCCATGTTCCTGGGGTCTGGATCAGTCCCATGCTGGGGAAGGACTTGTTTAAGTAGAGTTTCCAGGTACCCCATCTGGTAGCTTCCTGGAAATTAAATGAGAATCCCAACAACCTAGCTGAAGTAACAGCTTTGGGGTTGAAGTATGTGTAGAGTCCATTATAGTCTCCATGCCTGGGAATTCCTACCCTACTCAAGAAACACATGCAATAATTTTATAGATTAGGAGACCTTTGTTCCCTAACAGGTGAAAAAACATAAGCAGATCATGTTAGAATCTATCATCAGAGGCCTGTACCACTTGGCTCGCACTGAAGTCGTCTGTGAGAGTTTGAAGGCTCTGAAAAAGATCCTGGAGCTACTCACAGAAAGAGACATCAGCTTCTACTTCAAGGAAATAGTGCTGCAAACAAGAACATTCTTTGAAGATGTAAGTGAGCCTCTTTGAGAGCCTCCCTTCCCTGGAAGAAGTGGGGAAGTTGAGGAGGGTCCCGGTACTGCATGGAGGAGACTGTGGGTGTCCCACTACAGCACTTTGTGGCCACTCCCCAGAGCATCTGCAAATAGCTTCCATACAGGCTGCTGCCTCCCAACGTCTCTGCCTGAGCATGCTCCCTGGCCCAGAAAACACACCTGACCTAAGCAGAGTGAGGTAGAATTGTTGCCAAGGTGGCTAGCCCTAAACAAATGTCTTAGGTTCTTGATTCCACAGAAGGTTTGAGTACCATTTGCCTGTGAGCTCAGCATACTCACAAATGCTCCTTTCTTTACTTTCTTCAGTTCCTTATCTAATTCTTATACACCTCATTTGCTTTAGGGAATACCCAAACTGGGACAATTCCTAGTTCCTTCAACATGGTCTGTTCCAGTTCCCAAATTAAAGGACTCATTTCATCCAGGAGGCAGCCAACTATAATGCATGAACCAAATCCAGCCTACACCCTGCATTGTCAAAAGAGTTTTATTGGAACACAACCACACTTACTGATGCTGTATTGCTTACAGCTGCTTTCACAGACTACCTGCAGAGCTGCTAACTGTTGAAGGGACTATGGGGCTCATAAATTGTAACTTATTTGACTGATCACAAGAGATCAATTAGCAACCCTAGCTGAAGGGGAGTCATTTCCTTTCTGTATTCCACAAACTGTATTCTTGTTTGTTTGTTTGTTTATTCACTGCTGTGGATGTAAAAGTCTGTTTCACAACAACTTCAACCTAATATTTTGAGGTCTATAGATGTCTCCTCAAGTCCTATTGCTGGGAGAGCTGCTAGCTTCTCTTCATAAACAGACTTCATTAAATTCCTTATCTACTGGTCTCCAGACAGAAAACTTCTATTTCAAAAGCCTAATTTTTCTATTCATTATATATTTTATATGCCACTGACTAAGTTAAATCTTCCATTGAAGCCTGAGAAGTATTAAATAGAATTTAAGGAAAAATTACCTTTCAAGTACATTTCCCTATTTATTTACCCCAAATTTTTAATATTTCTCTTTCTTCCTGAAACTTTAATGAATTATTAGCTTAGGATCTACATGTTTTAATGTATAATATATGACCACTGCCAACAGTTCTAAAATGTTGCAATTTTGCATTTTGTACTTTATATTCTAGTGTATCCTGGCATGTGAAAATAGCTTTCTACTGTTTTCTTTAATTTAACTTTCTTTTAATTCTCGTTATCTCAAAAATGCTTCCTGGGCTCCTACCCAATGTAGAGTTTTCTGGGGGGGAAAAAGTTTATTTTTTCACCACTCAGATAATTGATATAAATCTTCAACAAGGGGGTGACTGAAGTCTGCTTTTCTGGCCCCATCTATTAGATTCCCTGGGTTCTTGTTGAAATAATATTTCTCTTGGATCTGAGCCCAAGTAAGCTACAAGTCTTCTTGACAGTTTCCAAGCAATGTTACACAGTACTATTTTTAAAATGGGGGGAAAGCAAACTCTTCTGATTATTAGATTAGTCATTTCTCACTCCCTGTAGGGATTAATTCCAACACATGTGAAAAATGATTATTTTTTTTTATTTTTGTTTTTCAAGACAGGGTTTCTCTGTGGCTTTGGAGGCTGTCCTGGAACTAGCTCTTGTATACCAGGCTGGTCTCAAACTCACAGAGATCCTCTGCCTCCGCCTCGCAAGTGCTGGGATTAAAGGCCTGAGCCACCAACGCCCAGCTGTGAATAAAGATTTTTACAAAACCTAGATTTTAGTAAAGATGTGCAAATCTTCCTCTAACAGTGTCACCTTTCTGCAAGTGTGCATAATTCCATAATGCTTTGTCCTCTGTATTTTGCTGTAGGGTAGACATGCAATACCGTGGCCGATCAACTTTCCTTCCATTTTCCTCTCAGTGTGCAAGTGCTTTCCTGTAATTCTCAAAGCATGACGGTACCTCAGGGAAGGGCAGAACTGAACACACGTGGCTGTGCCACGCTCCAGTCCCCTTCTTGCTACACTGCCACTTCAAATAATCACTTTACTCAACGTTACCCACTTTTCTCAACTGAAAAATGAGAGCACTGAGCTTGACAGACATTTCCTAATTTTTAAACGAGTTTTGTGGGCCTGAACAGAAGACTCATCTTTGCTTCTTTCACTTTTGGTGACTCTGAACCAGGTCAACAAGTTGCACATTTACCCAAACAGAGGCTTCCCCCATCATCTCGCATTGTGCTCCTTGAAATCATTTTCAACTATCCTGGAAAAAAATAAGATTTTCCATAACTTCACATATTCACAGCTTTTTGTTTGACCTGAGACTCAATGCCAAAATATTTGGTGTCTAGAAGAAGAGCACTGGACTTACGGAGCTTAGATAAGACAACTCATAGCTTTAAGGTTAATTACACAGCCTGGTTTATGAAACCAGGACATTTTATGAAAATATAGAACAAATGGGAACCCTCCCTGGCCTCCTGCTACCAACTCTCTTATCTGTCATTGTGCAATCATTTCTTCCCACAAAGGAAGAAATCCAGTCTTTAGTTCTATAACATCACCCAAAGCTGAGCCTGGGGGATTGAAGTCTTGGAATCCACAGTGACATGGATACACCAGTGCCCAGATTCTAGACTTCCTTCCTTTGCCTGACGTGTGGCAAGGTGGGGTGGGTACACAAGGGCTGCTGGCGGGGAATACCCTCTGAGAAGATCCATTTGTCACCACAGGAGCAAGATGATGTGAGACTGACTGCCATCTCCTTATTTGAGGATTTAGCGTCCCTAACAGGAAGAAGATGGAAGGTATTTTTTGCTGAAGAAGTAAAAAAGAGCATGATTTCCTTCCTTCTCCACCTCTGGGACCCAAACCCCAAGATTGGAGCTGTAAGTAGGCCTGCAGACACCTTCACCTCCTCTTTCCCCAGGGCTGAGAAGTATGAACTAGCCTGGTCTCTCTGAACCAGAAGCCAGCTCAGAGGTCACTCTTCAGAACTGAACCTGAAAAGACACTTCACCAATTCAGAATTGTGTCTCACCATCTCTTTCTACCTTTTTCTTTCTTTTAAGCCACAGACTTTTACTGTGTCTTTCACTGTGTCAGTGGGCAGTTATTCCCTTCTGGCAAAAGACCCCATTCTTACAGACTTCAATAACAAGTCCTCTGTATTCTAGGCTTGCCGTGATGTCTTGGTTATATGCATCCCTTTCCTGGGCCTTCAGGAGCTCTATGGGATATTAGAACACCTCCTTGAACAGGACCTGCCACGGGCCAGGGATTTCTATAGGCAATTCTGCATGAAACTGGTGAGTGTACAGCAGACAGTGCCACTGAAATAGCAAGACAGGAGTCTAGACAAACCTCACGAGCATACATATAATTGGTATCAATCTCTAGTGAGGAGCTGACTGAAGTCTTCTTTTTGGGCCACATCTCTCATATTTCCTGTGTTATTTTGTTGTTGTTGTTGTTGTTGTTGTAACAATAAAAACAGGGCCAGGATAGCCTTGCAAGGATAGCAATGATCCCTAGTGTTCTCATGAATCTCCCTCTCCCACAAGACCAATAAGGATCATTTCTTCTGTGGTCCTGAAACTACATCTGTTAACTAGCTCCTAAAGCCCCAGTGCCTTCTGATGGGGAATGTCCTTCTGTGTATATGTTTATCTTATTGATTGTTGAATAAAGTACTGTTTGGCCAGTGAGGCAGCAAGTTAGGTAGGACTAGAAGTAGAGGAGGCTTCTGGGAAATGTAGTAAAAAGAAGTCTTGTGATACAGGCAGGAAGTGATATAGCAGGGACAAACAGGAAGTCGTTGCTTTTCTCTTGCTCTCTTTCTCTTGCTCCTGCTCTCTGCTCTGGAGTCGCCATGTGACTGCCAGAAAGACAAGATGAATTCCGCTGGCATCCCCCATAAGATAAGTCTTATGATTATGACTGATAATTAAGACTGAGCTAGCAGATAAGAAATCCTAGTGATTGGCCAAGCAGCATTTGTACCTAATATAAGTCTCTGTGTGTTACTTGGGACCTTAACGTGGCGGAACTCAGGCAGCTGACGGGAAGCACCCATGTGGCAGAAGGGCTCTGGCCACTTTGTCAGAAAGACTTGTTACAGCCTTCCATTATTGAAACAGCTGTAAGACAGCTTTCAGTCAATCTACAAACAGCTGTGCATGTTAACTAGCCTTTAGGGTTTTCTCCTGAGACATATGGAATGCTAGGGGTCACTTTCCAATTGCTCTCTTTGAAATGAGCCACCTCTCTTCCAGGCCAAGAAGAACCAGGAAATTCTGTGGATCCTCCACACACATTCATTCACCTTCTTCACTAGCAGCTGGGAGATGATCAGGAGTGCAGCTGTCAAGCTCACAGGTGAGCCCCCTTTCCTGGTCCTGACCTCCATGTGTCTGTTCTTTTCCGTTTAGTTCTCACTTTGACTGAAAGCTACCCCAGCATGAAACTGGTATGGCAGAGAAAGACAGGAGTGGAGGAAGTGGGAAGAAATGTGCTATCTGTGTTGTGGTGTCAGCTTTCCTTTCACATATGAAAATTTACAGCCTCTTCTGATTCACCAGCACTCACTGGCCCCTGACTTGACTGCTCCCCTCTGAAGTCTTCCAGGCTCCACCAAACCCAAGCCTTTGCTCTTTGTTTTCCCCGTCTCCAGGTTCCTGGCCTGGTACCACAGAATAAATACCTTGCTTTTCCCAGTCCCTTCCTGTGAGCCACATTCTGCATTCTCAGGCTGAACACATGGGCATCAACATGACCGAAGTGAGAAGAAGGGGCCCTCAGTTCTGCTGTGGTACACAGAACATTTCACTTCCCTGAGTTACCTCCCTGCCATGCCTGTGAAAGAGAAAAACAAGTGAATCTCTAGAGACACTTCTACTATGAAATCCTAAGTGTGCTCTGTAAGCCTTTGCCAACTAACCTGTCCTGTAGTAAACAGACCCACTGGTGTGGTTTCCATTTGAAATACTTTCCATTGGATCATGCAACTTCATTGCCTTGATGATATTATAAATTTGACACATGCAGAAACCCTATTCCATGCAGTTTTGAAATCTGACAATACCTTCTCCCCACCTCCAAAGAAGGCCAATTTTGAATTTTTCAAATGAGCTGGACATGTAAACACTTTCCAAACACATTGCTCAAGACCCAACAGATGTTCACCTCATATTAGCCTCAGAGGTACATGGAGACTTGCATAATTTGTTCCATCACCCATTGGTCCATTTGCCTTCTGACTAGTGTCAATCAGGCCCACTTTCCCCTTACAGTGAAATCAGTAATGCTTTTCTTTTGTTGACGCTAGATGCCATTATTCTCCATTTGACCAGCCAATATGTGGAGTTATTAGACCGAGAGCAACTCACCATGCGTAAGTACCACCCCTGCTTGGTGCACATACTTTTGTCCCATTCTTAGAAAAGGAGAGGCTAACTGCTCCAAGTTCTAGATCAGCCCAGAAATAGAACACTTTGGCATCCAGTATTTTCTGAGGCTTCCTAGACCATGGAATGTCTATGAATTGATAGCAGCCTCCAGCTCTGCTCCTTTGTTGACATCATTCCCAATCAACTATGAGATTTCCTGTTGCCTAAACCTGTTGATCAAAAGAGTCATGGCTGCCTCCTCCTCCTCTCACTCCTCTTCCTCTCCTTTCTCCTCCTCTCCCTCCTTTTCCTCTTCTTCCTCCTTCTCTTCCTTTTCCTCTCCCAATCGCTCTCCTCAGGACTGAAGCTTCTTATAATTGCTAAGTACCCACTCTACCACCCAGCTACATCCTTCATCATTTTTCACCTTTTAGAGTAGGAGGTGAGCATTGACTTGGGTCCCAAACAGGACTTTCCTGTACAGCAAGCCCCACAGGGCTATATAAACAGAGTTTTGTCTCGATTGTTCCTACTAGGCTCTGACTCTCCTTGTTCATTTAATTTTTCATCTCAGGGCTCCAAGCTCTTCGGCAGGACCCCTGCATTAGTGTCCAGAGAGCTTCTGAAGCTGCCTTACAGACCCTCCTGAGAAGGTGTAAAGAGACCAGCATCCCACTGTAAACCATCAAGAAATAAACCGCTAGGCTTTTTCTAAAACCAGCTCCTGTCTTTGTCCTATCAACTTGCAAACTTACATCTTCCTGAAGGCAGACATTGCACCTAAGATGAGAATCTTCAAATATATTCCTACTCTCTCCCGATCCTTTCAGGTGTCTTGCATTGTTGGTAAGAGATATCATAAATTCATTTCAGAGATAGCCTATTATTTGATTGGTGACAGTCACATGGCTTTGCACAAGTTATTGCGCTCTCTTGAGAAACTTACATCCAAGCAGATGCAGACACCAAAGAATGGCACAGCCAGACCCAATTACACTACAGAAAAGAAGAAGGCTACTGTTATCTTCTATACATAGGCCTCCAATATTTGTGTCAGACTTTGAATCCCTACCCAAAATCTTCCCCTGCTCATATATTATCACATGATAAACTTTAACCTGTCTCTTGTCTCCAAGGTTGTAATTTATTCATCAAAATGATGCTAGGTATTATTCTACAAAAGACCATTTTTGACATTCCACTAAAAGGCAGTTTCTATTTTTAAGCCACAGCAATAAAGTGTGTGTGTTCTGTGCACATGCATTGTATGCATATATGTAGTAATGTTTTTTACTGGAGCACAATTATTTACTCTTTTCCAAAATACACTTTGATATATATGTATATATATATGCATATATATATAGTGTATATATATAATATTTAACAATCATTTAACAACAGACACTGTGTCACATTCTTGTGAATTCGCAATGGTATTCATTATTCCTCTAAGTAGACTGTCCTTGAAGATTCTGACTAGTTACATTCTCTTATTCTTACCTTCAAAGTCTTCACAGAAACATCTTTTGTTCCTACAAAACCTAGAGACTGAAGTAGTCTTTTGAGTTGAAGTTGATGGACCTAAGGTCCTTTGATTCATTCACATAAACATTCATTATGTGCTACAAACCTCATGACATTGTTACAGCCACTGGGAGCATAAAAATGAGGGGAAAAATAGAACACCTGTCCTCACGACGCTAATGTTCTATAGAATCTTTGTGTATGTGCTAGAGCAGTGGTTCTCAACCTGTGGGTCACAACCCCTTTGGATTGAATGGCCCCTTTACAGGAGTCACTTAAGACCAATGGAAAATAGAGATACTTGCATTACAATTCATAACAGTAGCAAAATTGCAGTTATGAAGTAGCAACTTTATGGTTGGGGTCACCACACATGAGGAACTGTATTTAAAGGGTTGCAGAGTTAGGAAGGTTGAGAACCATTGTTCCAGAGGCTGGAGTCAGTCTCCAGCATGGTTTCCAATGGTCCTGGGCCCTGGTGTTTAAGCCTCCAAATGGTTTCTTCCAACAATAAACAGTACTGACATTTACAAACAATAGAATGTTTCAGAAATGATAGTATGTGACTTCCAAAACAGTCTCTTTTTTTTAATCAGTAATCACATTTGTTTAGTATTTGCTGCATACAAGGCACCATGCCTTTTTGGAGAGAGGGAGGAAATTTCATACAATGTATTTTAATCATACACACACATTCAGCCCATATCTACCCCACATCTCTGCCCCTTTCCTAACTACTTGTCCTGTTTTTTTTTAAATAATATTGAGTCTAATTTGTGCTATCCATATACTTCTGGGTATAGGACAATCCACTGGAATTTGGTAAACCTTCCAGCAGCCAAACCCTTAAAGAAAACTGACTTTCTCCCTCTTTCAGAAGCCACCACCTGTCCAGATACCCTCAGGAGTGGGATCCAGTGAACCCTGTCTCCCTCCACATTAGATTGGTGACTAGCTTGATCTTGTACAGGTCTTGTGCAGGCAACCACAGCCACTGTGAATTTGTAAGTGTAGTGGCCAAGATGGGTTCTTAAAAGATAGGATGTTCTTCTAAGTCACTCACTCCAGAGAAACAATGCAATCCAATGAGATTCCTAAGCCAGAACCAAGCTAAGCTATTCCCAAATTCCTGAGCCACAAAACTGAGTGAGATGATGAATCTTTGGCATGTTAAGCCATGAAGTTTTGGAAGTAATTTATTATGCACCAGTTGTAATCATTCCTGAGAGGGTCAATGATCCCACCAAAATAACTTGAAAACTTCTATGTTCAATCAATAGATGTATTATCTGGGTAATGGCCTTCATTAAATTCTTAATGGAATAGCAAACTATTCCCAAGCATAACATATATGAAACAGAGCAAGAAAAATAATACTGGGATGTGGGCTTAATTGACCTCCTTTGGCAGGTTATTTTAAATCAAAAGCATTTCAAAATAGAACTATACAATGAAATTCTCTTCACAGATTAAATAATTTCATCTTTCTACACTAAACAGTGTGATAGCTACTAACCACGTGCAGTGATGGGACACTTGAAAAATGCTTTACATATCTGAGAAACTAAAATTGAATTCCATTTAGTCTCAATTAATTTAAAATGTGTATCCCAGCATAGTTTGCCATTGTAGCACTGTGCTGGGTAACTTCAGAATGTATAGGGAAAGGCCTCCCCCTCCCTGGGGAGCAAAAAGGGTATGTGATTGGTAGGGTTTTAATTGGGGGGTGGTGACAGGGGAGGATGGGAGGGAGGGGGAACTGGGATTGACATGTAAAACAATCTTGTTTCTAATTCAAATTAAAAATGGGGGAAAAAAAGAATGTATGGGGAAAGCCTTAGTAGGATTTCTTTGAGCTGGATGTGGTAATAAGTGCCTTCAGTGTCAGCACTCAACAAGTAGAGGCAAGAGGATTAGGCACTCAAGGTCTTCTACAGCTACCCATCACATCCAAGGTCAACCTGGCCTATATCAGACTCTGTCCTTAAGTCAAAATAAAAAAAAAAACTATGCATTGTTTTGAGACACACTAGAACTATAGATAATTCTGAACGGGAGTATAAATTTGATACAGAACTTTTTCCAATAGTTCTTCATATAGCTAAACAATACCTGGATCAACTGACCCACAGAATAAACCAAATGCAGAAGAAACTTAGATATTTTACTCATAATAATTCCTTCCATTAATCTCTCCCACTCACTATTCCTGCCCCCAGGCAGTTACCACAAGCACCCCAACTAGGCCTCCAAGAACCCTTGGCACTTATTCCTGGGAGATTGAATACAAGCACATTAGCATTGAGAGGAAGAGTTTTTGCCAGTCTCAGGAAATTAGTGGCACAGAGGAAATATATGTTAACTTTCTATAGGAGAAACTATGGATCCCTGTTGGTCACTCCTGTTGTTTGCCTCACTGGTACTGGCATGTGCAATGACTTTTCAACTCATATTTGCTGTGAGGTAGATTTTCTGCAATGTTCACAGACTGCCCAAAAGGTCTAGCAGGTGACGCAGAAGGCTATGGATGATATTCTTTTGCAATTCTGTTGGTTTCCTTTGGACCCAACAAGGAGAGCCAGTGGTCTGCTGGTAAACTGGAGATGTTTAGTTCTGCTGACCCTTCGATGAGGAGTTTTACTGTAATAGAGAACAGAGATTACGGACTGGAAGGAACAAGTAGGCTTCCAGTGAAAGCCAGGGGAATCATTTAGCTGGAATTGTCTCTGTGTTGCCAGAGTTTCAAAGATAAGATTCAGAATAAAACATTTCGCCTGGAGCCTGCAAGAGATTCTGAAATTAAGCAAATTTTTGTAATAGTACTTATTACTATTTGATCCTAAACTTGACAATTATCTTTTAAATCACCATTGTACAGAAATTAGAGGAAGCACAGTTAATCAGATATATAGTAACCTGAGAACTAGTCAGAAACCCCTGACAGCAAGCAACTTTCTGACGGTTAAGTTTACGCACTTTTACTTCTTGGTAATTCTCTTTCTTACTTACTTTCTTGAAGATTTCCCTTATACTACGATAGTAGAAAACAAGATGAAATCAAGAGAAACATAAGGAAGGTACAGTAGGATTCCTTACCAAAATAAAACTGTGTGTGTGTGTGTGTGTGTGTGTGTGTGTGTATTATCTGTGTGCCTATATGCATGTCAAGTTACACTAAAAAGTTATGACCTAAAATAATGGTATTTATTCTTGCCTCTACTTTTCAAACTTTATGCAACAAACATTCTTACATGTATTCCCCTGGGATAAAGTGTCCTAGATTACATTTATTAAATTATGTAGTTATCCTGAAGGCAAGATAAATTTGGAGAACATGATTTTCCAAATACATGTGACTCATACTTCTTTCTCAGTTTGAGAGCCATTGAAAGACACAAGATAAATCCTTCTTTCCTGTCTTACCTACCACTTCCTCCAAATATTCTCCTAGGCAAAGCCTAGGGATTGATCAGTTCCCTATGTCCATCCTTAATTGCAATGGGGTCAAAATGGGGCTCTACTTTAGAAATAGAGAGCTTGGAGAACTGCTTTGCCTGCAGGACAGGTTAACCAGAACTTTCTCCGTTCTACAAAGAAGTGGGGAAAAGCTGACTGTTCCCTGCTACCAGTGGAATCATGAGAAAACTATAGTTTCACATTCTCAGAACCTGAAATTGGAGTTGGAATCATGAGAGTGTGCTCTATAGTCTATTATTTTCCAGTCTGTTACTTCTTACAGTGAAATCTCATCTGGACAGCAGAAAGGTTTTACTAAGAGATATTGGTGATACAGGGAAAATTCACATCAAAACCACAGTGAGCTATTACTTCAAGAACAATGACTATTACCAAAAATAAAAAAAAACTTAAGTATAGCAATGCTGGTGTAGATGTGGAGAATATGGAGTCCTTGAACACTTGGATAAAGATATAAATTGTGGAAATAGCATGGAGACACTTCAACAGGCTAAAAATATAAGTCTTATGCAAAGTAGCAATCCAGTTACTGACTATATATTCAAAGGAAATGAAGTTAGCATGCTAAAGAGACACTTGGGTTCCTATGTTTACTGCAGCACTATGCAAAATAGCCAAGAAATGGAAACAAGCATTCATCAACAGATGAACATATAATGAAAATGTGGTACATATACACAACAGAATATCCTTCCAACTATAAAAAAAAAGAATGAAATCCTACCATGTGTGACAATGTAAGGGGAATGGGCAGCCATCATGGTAAGTGAAATAGACCAGGCACAGAAAGACAAGTGCTGCATGGTCTCACCCATGTGTAGACACTAAAATAATCTCATAGAAGCTGAAGAAGGAAAGGTCATTACCAGCATCCAGAAATAGCAGAAAGTAGAGAAAAATGAGAGAATAAGGGAAGACTGATCAATGAGCAACAATGTACAGCCACATAGGAGCAAGAAAAGTTGAACAGTAGAGTATAACTACATGTAACAATAATGCCCTCCTCATCCCCCAAAGCTAGGATATTTTTGAAAGTCTCACCAAAAATAAATAATATTTAAGGAGATAAGTATATTGGTTCTCATTTAAATATTTTATAAATGGTTAATTTCAGAACAT